AGAGCAGATCTGGAAACCCTAGCCGAAATTACCGAAGCTATGACAGGACATGTTGATGCATCTTCATCAAAGACGTCCATTGATATCACGTCTCCGTTCTTCCTCACCCCAGCTGATCATCATAACTAGAATTTCGTTGGAGAAAACTTACTCCATGACGTTAACTACAGTGACTGACAAAACGAGATGACATTACAATTGTTTATATACCAAACAAAAGATGAGGACTAATTTAAAATAGAGATAAACATGTCTGAAGATAATTATTCCAACACGGTGTGTTCTTCTATGTGTGTGTCTGTTTTTAGAAATAGCAATGACTATGTTTTTGTTATTATCTATGTTATTTTATATTTGTAACTGTGGTTTTCACTTGCTATAACATAATATAATATATTTACGTATGTTTAAACAACATATGTGTTTTAAATAAGCAATTTGAAACATTAAACTCCCGCTGATTTGTCTATGATCATGAATCAAGATTACACATGGTAATAATAGAAACTGTATATTCACAAAAAATATTAAAATTCTCTTTGTCAAATTGAAGGGTTTAACCTACCATAAATTTGGTAACGCATAAATGTTTGTTAGGGTTTCGTTAACTCCAAGGAAGGGACTTGGGAGCCAAGAAAAGCGCCCAATGTTTCTGTTTGTAAGTATTCAAATTCTCTCTTGGGATTCTCATCTCTTCCGTCATTTATATCACTTCCCTTCTCAATTCTTCCACCCCAATCCATCCGCCTTCTCTTCCGATCAACTCTGAAAATCAACACCATGGTATGTTCATCGTTTTCTCCTGTTCTTATCGATCACCACAATTGTAGAATTTGGATGTTTTTGAGTCGAATTTGATGGTGTTTTGGGTGGATAACTGATAAATGAATGCATGATGATGATGCAGTGGTTGAGACCATTACTGTTTGGCTCGCTTTCAAGACAAGTGACGGCAATGGCGGTTCATCCGGCGGCCACCATAACCACCATACTCCATTACAGTCGTCTCCTCCCTCGGGATCTCGCCGTTGATTTAGAGAGACACCGATTCATCCGCCATGAGTTAATCGATCAGCATGACTTCCTGTTCAATTTCATTGTTACCATTCTGACATGCTTCTGGTAGCTACCGTCGGTAAATTCGCCGGAGTTGACTCACCGGCGGCGTTTTTTGTTCGGCTGAGGCTTTAGGAAAATTTCCATAAAAAGTAAATATAAGAATAAAATATTAAGTTTTCGAGTAATGATCATTTTAAATTATCTTTTAAACCTTATATGTACCTTTATTTAGTTCAAAACTCTAAATTTTAACAAACCAAATCGATAACAAATATTTTCGTTTGCCCAAAAGATGAAAAAAAATCAAGTCAAATATATAATTAAAAAAAATTTAAAAAAAAAGTACAGAATCATGCAAGGCTATAATTACTTATAAAATACTACACGTGAAATACAATATCAAATCTAGTATAACAGTGGCTGTTGCAAACAATCGATTCACCATGCCAAAACAATTAGCATCCAAAAATATTAGCCATTATTATTACTAGGGTTACAAAATATTATTCTTGCAATTATCTTTGTATATACTTAGGCCACAAGTCATCGTAATTTAGGAAAGGTCTAATCATATGGAACACATTAGATAACTGGAACTCTTTCAATAATAATAATCACTAATAAAAAAAAATCCTAAAAATGATGTCTATATGATCCTCTATATTATGGTATCAACAAATTTCAAAAAGTCTTACACCGGACGGTGTACCGGTTCCCGCACACAGTAGTGGCCGGAACCGCATCCACAAACACCACACTCTGAGTACGGTTTAGGGTGAAATATTTTGGGGTGGAGTGTCTATATGATCCTCTATATTATGGTATCAACCCCAAAGTCAAACCTCACCCTATCACTCTCAAACCCAAAGTCAAACCCCACCCTACCACCCTTAAACCCAAAACCAAACACCACCCTACCACCCTCAAACCCAAAGCCTCGATGACTCGAATGATGAAGTCGTATGAGAAACTCAACCCCCCTCACCCCCTTCACGTTGCAAAGAAAAACAACCAGTCGAAAAGAATAAAAAGGTCGAACCTAAAGCTTGGACTCCAACAAAAGAGTTAGTGTTGACATAATCTTGGGTTGACATTTATGAGGATTCACAGCTAGGAAATGCATAATTGATTGACCATTTCTGGCTATGCATTATTGAAAGATTTCACAAGGAGTTGGGTGAAGGTGATTACAACCATAATAAACACCAACTAAATTTAAAGTGGTGAGATATCGCGAAATGTGTTTCGAAGATGAATGAGTTGTACAACAACCTAAAAACCAAAAGAGAGAAACGGTCAAGATGATGAAGAAATTCTTCAAGAGGCTTTGCGATTGTATCTCGAAGAAATGGGAAAGGCGTTCAAGTTAACTTAAGTGACTCTTGGAAAGTGTTATCTTGTAGTCCAATATGGAAAGAATTCAAAGCTATCGTCCTACTTGGAGGAGAAGAAAGAAAAAGAACAAAAACAGGCTCAAGTGGATATATAACTTACTTCGATGCTCATGTCAGGTTAGATTTGAATGATGACTATGAGTTCGAGCTAGAGAAAATTGTTCGGCCGATGGGTAAGGACAAAGCTAAAAGGAATGGGAACGGATATTCTTCAAATGTATCGGATTTCAGCAGCGAAGCAGACGAAATGCGAAAAATAGCTGAGACATTTAATCGGTAGAATTTGAATTACAATGAACATTTTGCATTTGATAAAGAAAATTTTGCCAAAAAAGAAAAGTCGCGCAATGAAAGAAAAGAAATGGAAGATATGCAATTCTTGATGCAAAATATCGAATATCTTTCGGGACAGACCCTCGAACTAGTTTTGAGGATGAGGGAGAAGATCACAAAAAATATTCCCCTTACATTGTTTATGTTTTTTTGAAATCTTTGGTTGTTTTTTATTATGTAATTTTGAATTATTTTTCTAGGTTTTATTATGTAATTTTTATTTTTAAGTAATGAAAAGTTTCTATTTTTTATTATTTTTGTGTTTATTAATAATTTTTTAATTAATTATATTTAGGGAAATCTCCGGAAAAGTCCTAAAATTTTACCCTAATTTACGAAAAAATCCCAAACTAAAACTTGTTTACGAAAAAACATGAATTACCGGTAAAAATGATGATTTGACCCATTTTTTCCGGTTTACCGGTTTTATTACTTACATGTTTCACTAAAGTCTCATTATTTTACCCTAATTTGTGAATAAAGTCTAAAATAAAATTTACTGATGATTTAGGATTTTTCTTCATGTAACATACATTTTATCGGTTTCATTGCTGACTTAGACACCTAGTCATCAAATTAGTTGATAAGATGAATACGATGGGTTATATAATGTCACGTTTACTGTAAAATTTGATATCCATCTCATCTGCTTATTTATGACTATGTATCTACGTCAGGAATGAAACCAATAAAATGTGTGTTTTCAAGAAAAAAAAAAGGTAGAAAATGAGTTGATGTCTGATGAGATGGATATATTGGGTTACATAAGATTTGATAGATAATTTGATATAAACGTAAAAAATAACGCAGTTGTTGTAGTTTATGTAATTATTGTTGTCTTTGTTGGATGTATTTTATGTTCCAAAAAGATATACAATACATCATGATATCAAGTTTATGCTAAACATAGCATTATATAACTCAAGATATCCATCTCATCATCTAATTTAATGACTAGGCGTCCGGGTCAGCGATGAAACCGGTAAAATGTATGTTACATAGAGCAAATGGCCAAATCATCAGTAAAGTTTATATAGAGACTTATTCGCAAATTAGGGTAAACTAATGGGGCTTTAGTGAAACAGGTAAGTAATAAAACTGGTAAACCGGAAAAAAATGGGTCAAATCGCCATTTTTACCGGTATTTCATGCTTTTTCGTAAACAAAATTTAGTTTGGGACTTTTTCGTAAATTAGGGTAAAATTTTAGGACTTTTCTGGAGATTTCCCTTATATTTATATTTGAAATTATAATCTTTAAAATTAAATTAATTTTATTGTTAAAAAAAAATGAAAGGAAGTGAAAAATAACCATTTTCTGGGTTTTTAAGAGTGAAGCATGAGTAAAACAAAGTTGACGCTGACATAAAAAATGTGAAAGGTGAAAAGATGAGTGCACATTATGACCTTAGGACTATTTGGTAGTCTGTTATTTTTCAATTCTTAAATTTTCAATTAAGAGGCAAACTTTTAAAAATTCAGATTCAAAGTGTTTGATAATATCGTCTTTTCAAACTCTTAATTTGTCAAAAGCCTCTCAATTTTCCGGACACAGATTATATCTGGAAAAAATACATGGTGTGTTCCTATTTTACCTTGTTCCCTCTTCTTTTTCTATTTTACGTTCTTCCTCCTTTTCACTCCTAGCCTTCTCCAACGACCTGCAACCCTCTGCCACCGGTCGGTCACCGTCTTCAACAGCACCTCCGTCTCCGCTAGCGCCACCCTCCAGCTCCGTCAAACTCATCAACAACATTATTGAAGTCATTTTATTTTCTTCTTGCTCTAAAACTTGTCCCTTTTTCGTCCTTACTTCCTCCTCTAGCACCACCCTTTTCGGTTGTGTTTAATCAATTTTGATTATTTGTTGTTAGATCATTCTTGTTTTCTGCAGTTGTTTTCTTTTGTCTTGCCTTAAATGGATTACATTTTATTTGTCTTTTGTTAGATCATTCTTGTTTTCTAAAGTTGTTTTCTTTTGTCTTGCCATAAATGGATTACATTTTATTTGTTTTTTGTTAGATCATTCTTAGTCTTTGCGTTAGAGATGTTGTTTTTGTCAGATCGTTCTTGTTTTGACATTTCAAGCAAAAATATGGATTATATATCTGGAAAAAAAAACGATTCTATTTTTTATGTTGTTTCGTTTGTAGAAAATAATACATAAGGGTATAATGGTATTTTTTATCATTTAACATAACAATTCAGATGTCTAACCAAACATCTTTTCATTAAGAAATAGACTTCTTAAAAATTCAAATCATGTCAAACGCATTAGGCCATGTTTGGCACGCCACAACTTGTTTATTTATCGGGTTTTTTATATTATCACGTTTGGTAAAGAAAAATAGCTTATAAGTTTTTTTTAAAAAAAAAAGATACTTACAATAGTTTTTCAACTAGCTTAAAACATTTTCTAAATTCTCCCCGTTATACCCTTAAACCATTTGTTAGGAGTTAGGTTGTAATTTTTATAAAAGATTATATATATATATATATATATATATATATATATATATATATATATATATATATATATATATA